CAGCCTCCTGAATAGCTGGGATTACAGGCATGAACCACCATGCCCATCTAATTTTTTGTATTTTTAGTAGAGACAGTTGGCCATTATGTTGACAGGTCAGTCTTGAACTCCTGGACTCAAGTGATCTACCCACCCTGTCCTCCCAAAGTGCTGGGATTACAGGTGTACTGTCTTTTAACTTTCTTGATAGTGTCATTTAATTAAAGCATAAAAGTTTTAGTTTTGATAAGGTCTAATTTATCTATTTTTTCCTTTGTTGCTTGTGCCTTTGGTGTGATATGTAAGAACCCGTTGCCCTGTCGGTAATAAAGCTGTTTGACTTTCTTATCATTCATGTGTTCACTGGCATGGCACTTTTAGTTTCCTTCAAGAACTTTTCCTTTGTATTCACAGTGTGGTTGTTTGGTGCAAGAGGCCTGGGTTTTAGCCTGTCTTTGCTTTTGACATAACTTCCTCACTAAGCTTAACCATTTTCAGGTTTTGACTTAAAGTTGAGAGACATGCAACTCTTCCTTTCACTTAAACATTTAGAGGCCACCATAGGATTATTTTTATTTGTTTGTTTGTTTTTGAGACAAAGTCTCGCTCTGTTGCCAGGCTAGAGCGCAGTGGCACGATCTCAGCTCACTGAAAGCTCCACCTCCCGGGTTCAAGCAGTCCTCCCTGCCTCAACCTCCTGAGTAGCTGGGACTACAGGTGTGCGCCACCACACCCAGCTAATTTTTGTACTTTTAGTAGAGACGGAGTTTCACCATATTAGCCAGGCTGGTCTCAAACTCCTGACCTCGTGATTGATCCACCCACTTTGACCTCCCAAAGTGCTGGGATTACAGGTGTGAGCCACCATACCCGGCCCACTGTAGGATTATTAACTAGCCTAACTTCAATAGACCTGTGTCTCAGGAAGGCCTGAGGACAGGGAAAGAGATGGGGGAACAGCTGGTTGCTAGAGCAGTCAGAACACACACATTTATGGATTAAGTTTGCCAACTTATATGGACATGGTTTATGAAGCCCCAAAACAGTTACAACAGTGACATCAAAGATCACTGATCACAGATCACCTTAAGAGATACAGTATTAGTAAACAATTTGAAATATTGCAAGAATTACCAAAATGTGACAGACAAGAAGTCAGTATATACTGCTGAAAAAAATGGAGCTGATAGATTTGCCCAATGCAGGGTTGCCACAAACCTTCAATTTATAAAAAACAGTATCTTGGGAGGCTGAGGTAAGAGGATCCCTTGAACCCAGGAATTCGAGGCTACAGTGAGCTATAACTGCACCACTGCACTCCAGCCTGGGTGACAGGGAGACCCTGTCTCTTTTTTTTTTTTTTTTTGAGACAGAGTTTCACGCTGTCACCCAGGCTGGAATGCAATGGCACAATCCTGGCTCACTGCAACCTTCGCCTCCTGGGTTCAAGTGATTCTCCTGCCTCAGCCTCCTGAGTACCTGGGATTATAGGCATGTGCCATCATACCCGGCTAATTTTTGTATTTTTAGTAGACACAGGGTTTCATCATGTTGGTCAGGCTAGTCTAGAACTCCTGACCTCATGATCTGCTCGCTTTGGCCTCCCAAAGTTTGGAGATTACAGGTGTGAGCCACCGTGCCTGACCGACCCTATCTCTTTAAAACAAACAAACACAGTATCTGCATGAAATGACTCACAATAAAATGAAGTATGCCCACATTATCATTAATGTTAACACGAATATCTTCAAACAAGAGGGAAGAAAGTGCATGTGTCTATAAAAGGGCAACACAACACATGTTTGTGGTGATGGAAATGATCTGTTTTGGTCAATGTCAATATCCTGATTGTCATATGATAGTCCTGCAAGATGTTATCATTGGAGAAGACTAAGTTGAGAATAACACACAATGTCTCTATTATTTCTTACAGCCTCATATGAATCTACAATTATGTCAAATTTAAAAAATAAATTTTAAGAATTTCATTTTTCAAACATTTGTTAGATGAATTAAGTTTTTACCCCCTTCAAATATTGAAGGCAAATTAATGCTCCAGATAGTACTGTTCAGTAGGAAGATCACTAGCCATATATAGCTGTTTACATTTAGATTTATTAAAATTGAATAAAATTTAAAAAATTCAGTTCCTCAGTCAAACCAGCTACATTCCAATTTCTCAGTAGCCATATGTAGCTAGTGCTTACTGTAGTGGAGAGCACAGATATAAAAAAATGGAATCCAGTTTTGCAGAAATTTGTATTAAAAAGCATTGTTCCAAAGCATTACACGATTGACACCCTCACTTTACAGGTGAGAAAACGGAAGCCAGGAGATATCACTGTAACACAGCTCTGCATACAATCGTGCCCATCCTCACAGTACTGTGCTCACACACTTCTTTCCCCACATTCACCGCCACAGGTGAACTCTCAATGCATCATTCAGTAAATTTATATAATTTCATAGGAATCTATCTTAAATTCATGACCATGCAAAGAAAAATAAAATTCTCACAGGTTATAAGATAGTCGCATGCTGAATCTGATTAATCACAGACATCACCCTCAAAGCTATAATCAAACCATTCCCAAGACCCTTCCGCACACAATCCTAAATGCGCCACTAATATAGCCTCTGTCACAGTGTCAAGCACAATCTGACGCACATCACACGGGCATGGCCACTGTCCCCTCTGCTCCCACAGAGGACACTCGGACATGGACACGCGCGCCCACAGACACACAAATGGCCGTGAAGAATGCATCACACTTCCGAACACCGTTGGGCAGCAACCCGGTATCGTAGCCACTCGTCACGGCCAGAGCTCTCTGTCACAGAGAAATCAGACCTTACCTGACAGCCTTTTGCAGCTCTTCTATCCCGGCGACGACATTCTCCTGAAGGCACCACGGCAAGACTCAACCTCTTTATGTGAGGTTCTCTGGAATTTCTGGGGCGTTACTTGAGTATAATGAAATAGGGTAGGCTCAGACCGTAGCAGGGTAAGACCCACAGTTCGAGCAAAGGAACCTCAGGGATCGCTCGGTTCTGGAGTGCTGGACTCTATGACAGCCACTGGGCCTGCGCAGACACGACCCGGCCGGTTTTCAGCTGTAGACTACGTTTCCCGAAGGCCCCCACGTCACTTACGCGTTGTACACTTAACGCCGTTACGTCTTGACGCACGGAGCTTCTTTGCAGCCGCCAGGTGAGTAGGTGGCCTCACCCGGAGCGGCTCGCCGCTTTTGGGTTGCAGCTTCGAAAAGGAAGCTCCTGTATGGTGCTGAGAATACCGGTGTCCTGGCTGGGGCTCAGTGCTGACAGGAAAGGGACAGTGCTCTAGGCTAATTACTTGTGGAAGTTGGCCTTGAGAGTGCGGAGGAGTCGTCACTTTGGTTCCGGGAGCGACGGGGGCGTGGTGCTACTTGTGTTCCTCCTTTCCGAATTTATGAGTGTGCACCCTGGAGCCCCTATCCGCGGGTAAAATCGGCATCATCACTTTGGGATAGGGAGCCTAGAGAGGCGTGTGTTACCAGTAGTGTTCCTCCGCTCTGGACGTGTGCGTGTGCGCTTGTGCGGCCGTGGGGTGGGCTCACCTGCCGCCTGGTAATGCTCCTACCCCTAGGCCCCTCCCAGGCCTCAGTACTCCTCGTGTGACACGGACGGCTGAGAATCGCGCGGCTACAGCTGCTGCAGTTCCTTGGCGGAGAAAGGCTCTTTTGAAGTTGCCCTGATAGTGAGGCTTTACCCCTGGAGGTGTCTTAGGAAAAGACCACTGTTAAAGATGTCGTATTCCAGCTCGAGAACCCTGTGAGGAGACTAATCCCTCTCTTGAGGTTGGTGTGATTCTAAATTGTTTTGTCTGCTGTGAGAGCGCTGATGCTCTGATTCTTTTTTCTTTTCTCTGTTCTGCGTTTTCTAAGAGAGGCACCCAGAGGAAAAGAATATCGCACTTCGGAAAGTCTTGTGTGAAGTTCCTATTTTCTTTCTAACCTCACATTTCTTCCTTTCCGAAACATTTTTTACCTCCAGCAACGTCTTCCTAACGAAGAACCAGCCATTCTAGTGACTGGTCCTTAGGCACCCTGTAAATGATGCTCCGGGGATGGGTTAATCAGTCAAGCTCCACTCCCCACCCACGCTACACCTCTCCTTTCCACCTAATGGTCTAAAGTTTTGATGAAAAATAACTATTTTTCTGGAGGAAAATTTGAAGACTTTTTAAATTTTAACTATTGTGGATGTTTTCAAGCAGGATAGAGAATACTACAAATCCCAACATGTCCAACACCTACTTGTAATTAAAAGCATCTGTAGATACGTTTGTATCAATCCTTCCCCCTATTTTCCTGTAGTATTTCAAAATTGCATTTTATCCTCCTATACATATATGACCAAAAAGGACATTATATTTTAAAATAACCACGATGCTGTTATACTAACATTAAAAAAAAAATAACTAACAGGGTCGGGCGTCGTGGCTCACGCCTGTAATCTTAGCACTTTGGGAAGCCAAGGCTGGCGGATCACAAGGTCAGGAGTTCTAGAACAGCCTGGCCAACATGATGAAACGCCATCTCTACTAAAAATACAAAATTTAGCCGGGCGTGGTGGCGGGTGCCTGTAATCCCAGCTACTTGGGAGACTGAGGCAGAAAAATTGCTTGAACCCAGGAGGCGGAGGTTGCAGTGAGCCAAGATCACGCCATTGCACTCCAGCCTGGGCGACAGAGCAAGACTCCATCTCAAAAACAAACAAAACTGGCCGGGCGCGGTGGCTCAAGCCTGTAATCCCAGCACTTTGGGAGGCCGAGGCGGGTGGATCACGAGGTCAAGAGATCGAGACCATCCTGGTCAACATGGTGAAACCCCGTCTCTACTAAAACTACAAAAACATTAGCTGGGCATGGTGGTGCGTGCCTGTAATCCCAGCTACTCAGGAGGCTGAGGCAGGAGAATTGCCTGAACCCAGGAGGCGGAGGTTGCGGTGAGCCGAGATCGCGCCATTGCACTCCAGCCTGGGTAACAAGAGCGAAACTCCGTCTCAAAAAAACAAAAAACAAACAAAACTAACAATAAGTTTGTTTCTTATGTTGGTATAACAGCATGGTAGTTAGTTCATAATATGAAATTAAAAATTTTTGAATATGGGTATACCCCCATATTCAAATTTTCCCAATTCTTTCAAAGACATATTTTTACAGTAGGTTTGTTGAAATCTGGATCAAAATAGAATTCACACATTGCACTTGGTGGCTAAAACTCTTGAACTTCTTTAATCCATGACAGTTTCCCTCCTGTGTTTTGTTTTGGTTTGTTTTAATTGATGCTGCTGATTTGTAGAAAAACTAGATCATTTGTCCTGTAGAATATTCTGTATTCTGCTTTTAGCTAACTGCTTCCTTGTACTGTCATATAATTGTTTTCCATTCCTTCATATTTCTGTAAACAGGCAGCTAGATCTAGAGGCTTGATCAGATTCAGATCAGATTTTCCTAAATCACCTTTTTAGGGAAAAGTAATTCATAGTTGGCACTGTGCACTTCCTATTACATTGCATCATGAGGCCCTTACAGTCAGGTGTCCCACTTTCAGTGATGTCATATTGATGTGTTTAAATGTTGTTCATTTAATCCTTTCCTTTTTTGCACCTAAATTAGCATGCATTCTCAATGAGGGTGGAGGATATCTCAAACTTGTTTGTGACAAGGAAGAGCCCAAAAACTCATAGGTATTACGATGATCTGTGGTCCTCCAAAGAGCCACAGTAGATATATATATATAGTATATCTGCGGTAATCAAATTTCATGAGAGTGGTGGCTATTAGAGAAAAGGTATCTAAAAAGGCTCCTAGGGATGTGACTATGAAAAATTTTAAAAAGGATAGGAAGCACTGACCTAAAGATTATAACGTCCACTTATGATTGATACCAAGATTCATTCATTTTTTTTCCCTCTGTCACCCAGGCTGGAATGCAGCAGTGCGATCTCAGCTCACTGCAGCCTCCAACTCCTGGTTCAAGTGATTCTCCTGCCTCAGCTTCCCAAGTAGCTGGGATTGCAGGCATGTGCCACCACATCCAGCTAATTTTTGTATTTTTAGTAGAGATGGGGTTTTACCATGTTGCCCAGGCTGATTTCCAATTCCTGATCTCATGTAATCCACCCACCTCAGCCTCCAAAAGTGCTGGGATTACAGGCATGAGGCACCAGACCTGCCCATTATTTCATTAAGGGTTACATATGGTGATTTGTAAAAATTCACTCAGTTCCTTCAGCATTTATTAGTTACAGTTCTTCTATATATAAGAACTTTTCTTCGTCAGGTATTTGATTATTTTAAAATACAGTTTATAGCCAGGCCTGGTGGCTCACACCTGTAATCCCAGCACTTTCGGAAACTGAGGTGGGCAGATCACCTAAGGTCGCGAGTTTGAGACCAGCTTTACCAACATGGAGAAACTCTGTCTCTACTGAAAATATAAAATTAGCCGAGCTTAGTGGTACATGCCTGTAATCCTAGCTACTCAGGAGACTGAGGCAGGAGAATTGCTTGAACCTGGGAGGTGGAGGTTGCGGCTGAGATCCCACCATTGCACTCCAGCCTGGGCAACAAGAGTGAAACTCGGTCTCAAAACAAAAAAAAAAACCAGTTCATATGGAAAGGCAGATTAATTGATTTGATTCTTTATTTTCATGTACTAATTTTCACATAAATAAGTTGATGCCCTACAAACTTCTAAGGAGTTCCAAAAGTGAGTGAGTTTGATTTGAATACCATTTGTTTTAAACTATTGCCAGCATTATTCTTTTTTATATCAAACTGCTCTTTATTAAGCCACTGGTAGTCCTTTCCGGGCAGTTCCTATGTCTTTCTGACATGATTCTAGTAGAGTTGATAGTGTATTTGCTTTCTGGCAGAACAGATCCCAAGATCACCTTGTACATTTCCTATGCCAGGCCTGAAATGAGCCATTTCTCTAAGGAGTTTTGATTCCTCTTGTGGTATATAGTGTACAGTGACCACTGCGTGCGCATTAGAGTTTCTCATTGCCATAGGGCTGTCATTTATTGCAGGCCATTTCATGGAACAAAGCTAATAACTTGTTTTTAAACTATAAATCATGAATCATGAATTTATAATAATATTTCAGTTCAGACAAGCAATAGAGTATTTTCTTATTTGATTTTATACTTGTATCTCTCTTTTATGCTAACAATATTGGTTGCTAAAACATTAATATATCTTCTTTATTCTAAAATATAATTGTTTGAAAACAACAACTGTTACTACTGTTAAGATAGAGAATGTGTTTTAGATTTCTTTTGGTTTTTATATTTTGCTATATTTAAGGTTCATGGATTACATTTGGTTATACCTCTTTAGTCTCTTAATTAAAAATCAGTACTCACATAGCAGTGATTTTTTAAAAAATTTTATTTTGATATCATATTACACTTACAGAAAATTTGCAAAAATAGTAGGAAAAAACTCTCATATGCCCTTACATATTTACCAGTTTTTAACATTTTGCTTTTTTGTTTGCTAATTCTCTCTACATATATACTTTTCTTCTGAACTACTTGATAGTAATTTTCAGACATCATTTTCCTTTATCTATAATTACATTACTGTATTTTCTGAGCACAGGGACTATAACTGTAGTTCGTTGATTAAAATGAAGAAATGTAGCAGAGATATAATAATTGTCTAATCCAGAGTTCATAGAATTTTACCAATTTTTCTAATTTTGTCCTTATAGCCTTTTTTGCCCCTTATCTGGCGTCCAATCCAGAGTCATATCTAGGATCAACCATTTCATTTAGTTATCACATCTCTTTAGTCTGTTTTAATCAGAAACAATTCCTGGACTTTTCTTTGATCCTTTGTGATCCTGACTTTCTTGAAATCTACAGGCCAGTTGTTTTGTAGATCGTCTCTCAGTTTATGTGTGTTTGATGTTTCCTCATGATTCAATTCAAGTGTGCATTTTTTTGTAGGAATACTGCTTCAGTTCATTGCCCAGCACCTTCAATTAGTTGCTTTTTATATTATGTCCAGATCTATAGGTGTATCTTTAAGGAAGTTAGTCCAATAGGATCTTAATGGTATTGGAATCAGAAGTCTTCTCAATTTAGTTTCACTTTGAATTTCTCTTATTTAAATGAGGATGAACATATTTTAAATGTTTAATGGCCATTAACTTTTCTTTTTTGTGAATTGCCTGTTGTCCATTTAAAATAATGACTCTCTATCTTTCTCTTGATTATTTTCTCTTGATTTTTAAAATACAGCTCTTTGGATTTTAGGAGTCTCTGTTTTTGCTTTAAGTTGCAGATATTTTCTCCCATTTTGTCATCTGTCTGTCTGTATTCTTTAGGCAATTTTTAAATGTAGTAACATTTATTCATATGATTGTAAGACAGAATTTTCCCCTCTGAAGTTAAGAATGACAGTCTGTTTTTCCTTCTAGCATTTTTATGATTTCTTTTTTTATTCTTTGAGTTGGAGTTTTGCTGTTGTCACCCAGGCTGTAGTGCAGTGGCAAGATCTTGGCTGTCTGTAAACCTCACCTCCTGGGTTCAAATGATTCTCCTGCCTTAGCCTCCCAAGTAGGTGGGACCACAGGCACCTGCCACCACACCCAGCTAATTTTTGTATATTTTGTAGAGACTGGCTTTTGCCATGTTGGTCAAGCTGGTCTTGAACTCCTGACCTCAGGTGATTCACCTGCCTTGGCCTCCGAAAGTACTAGAATTACAGGCGTGAGCCACTGTGCCTGGCCAATTTATTTTTTAATATTTAGATCTCTTATATATTTGGAGTTAATTTTGGTATGTCGTATAAAATGGGGATCCAATTTTACCTTTCTCCAGTAACATTTACTGAATAATCCATCTTTCCCGAGAGATGAGAGATTCTATTCTGTTACATTAATCTTTTTTTTCATTTATATGCCAGTATCCAACTATTTAAAAATAAAATTTCAACTTTTAATTTTAGATTTAGGGGGTACATGTACAAGTTTGTTCCATGGGTGTATTGTGTGATGCTGACGTTTGGGATATGAATAATCCAGTCACCCAGGTAGTGAGCAGAAACCTGGTAGGTGGGTTTTCATCCCTTGCCCTCCTCCTCCTCTCTCTGCTCTAGTAGTTGCCAGTGTCCATGTTCTCATCTTTATGTCCATGTGTATTCAATGCTTAGCTTCCACTTATAAATGAGAACGTGGTATTTGGTTTCATTTCTGTGTTAATTCACTTAGGATAATGGCCTCTAGCCATATCCCTGTTGCTGCAGAGGACATGATTTCATTATTTTTTACAGTATCCAAAATTTTAATTTTTGTGTTTTTAGTAGCCATGTTGGCTGGTCTGGTCTCAAACTCCTGACCTCAAGTGATCCACCTGCCTCAACCTTCCTGGGGTTACAGGCGTGAGCCACTGCACCCAGCCAACCCATGTATTCTTAATGAAGATGATATTGCCTCCAAGGAGGTGAAAATTGGTTATGGGGGAGGGCAAAATCTTAGATAGTACAATGGCTTGTGGTGCTTCAAAGCTCAACTATACCCAACAGATTCTTATTTCTCATTATTATTATGAGACAGAGTCTCACTCTGTCGCCCAGGCTGGAGTGCAGTGGTGTGATCTCGGCTCACTGCATCTCTGCCTCCCGGATTCAAGCAGTTCTCTGCCTCAGCCTCCTGAGTAGGTGGGATTATAGGTGCCCACAACTACGCCTGGCTAATTTTTGTATTTTTAGTAGCTATGTTGGCAGGACTGGTCTCAAACTCCTGACCTCAAGTGATCCACCTGCCTCGGCCTCCCTGGGATTACAGATGTAAGCCACCATGCCCAACCAACCCATGTATTCTTAATGAAGATGATATTGTCTCCAAGGAGATGAAAATTGATTAGCAGGGAGGACAAAATCTTAGTACAATGGCTTGTGGCACTTCAAAGCTCAACTATACTATAAAATAAGAGACAAAATCTTATTTCTCATTATAATTATTATTATTATTTTAAGACAGAGTCTCACTCTGTCGCCCAGGCTGGAATGCAGTGGCACAATCTCGGCTCACTGCACCTTCTACCTCCTGGGTTCAAGCAGTTCTCTGCCTTAGCCTCCCGAGTAGCCGGGATTACAAGCGCCCACCACCACCCTGGCTAATTTTTGTATTTTTAGTAGAGAGGGGGTTTCACCATTGTTGGCAGTCTGGTCTTGAGTTCCTGACCTCATGATCCACCTGCCTCAGCCTCCCAAAGTGCTGGGATTACAGGTGTTAGCCATGGCACGTAAACTATTTCTCATTATTTACCCTCTCTCTTACTGGTTTTTCTTGGTATCACACAAGCAACATAGATGTTAACAGCTCATAAATTATACATGTATCCTGTATACAAGATCAATGCTACCAAAAAAAAAAAAAAAAAAGGATCAGTGCTACAAAACTATGGCAAATGGGTGGCTGTAGTTGGAGAACTTGCTCAATCTTGAAGTCATATTTCAAGAGGCGGCGAGCTGCGTGCACATTGGATGTTGTCCATATTTGACCCTCAGTGCTTTTGTGTATGCCATGGCTTAGAGAATTAAATTACAGTTAAATTAAGGTAGTTTGTTTTATTATTCTACAAAAGGTATTCAAGCTGTGAAATAAAAAAACAAATCCAAACTTAGGTAAGGAATGACTTTATTCACAGGAACATTGCAGTAAGGGAAATGG